CCAAATAATCGTCCAGTGCCTTGAGGTTTTCGATGGTGGTCTAGCTTCAATTAACTCATGATCTCAACTATTGAAACTACTATAATATCCAGAAAACCCCTTCTGATAGAATTCAAAGTAACACAATACCAACTTAAATATATTAATGAATTGTTCACTAATAAGAATAAACAATCTGTAAAGACAATAGGACGAGGAAGAGATTATGAAACGATAACAACAATCATGACAATGTGGTCTCAATAGAACAGAAGTGAATGATTTTAATTTACTTCATGGAGGGATTTCAGCTACGGAATACTAGACAGCTATTTAATTTTAGTATACGATTCATGGATGTCAAGTTATAATTTCTTTTCTTTTAGAAATTGAACCTAGAAACTTGAGGTTTCACAACAAATGCGTTATCTTCTATTCCCATGTGTTCCAATGCATTCACCTTATAACTACGTACAAGTTATTAAGTATAGGTTAGATTAAGATTTCGTTTTAGAAAATGTTGATATACTTGTGTTTCTTATTGTCTTAGGTACATATATGATTTTGCTTCTGATATCAGTTTGGTGGGGGATGATTCATTACTAAGGAGAAGCCAATATTACATTGGTTGCTGTGGGATGTGATGCTGCTCGGGTGCCCAGACCGAAACAGTTAGTTTTGTTAAAGGGCCACACCTCGAGTCTTTGATCTAAAGGTCTGATCTACAAGGCAATGGAGCAACGTCAGGAGATGCAGTTCCATGTTAGCCAGTAACCAACATTAGGTTCATACCCCATTTGTTTCCTCAGGATACTGAAGCCTATGTGCACCATTGACGCGGAATCAGAGTTATCCAAAATCCCTGTGTGGATCCACTGTATCTATCAACCCGGTTAGAGCGACGGACATTCACTTTTCATCTTCTCAATTTCATAAGCAACAGTGATGCCGCGAGAAGGCAGTGAATAGGACTTCCCTGAGAGTGATTGTATTGACGTGGCCGTGTAAGAGCATTTAGAGACAGAGAGTTGACTCTCCTCACTTTCGGCCATACCACGGCATATGAGGGCAGTGGTCATACAAGTTCAACAGTATATCAGTGAGGGTAGCAACACTGACTAAGACCCTCATGTAATGCAAGTCCTGTGATCATTAAGTATAATAGAGTAAGTAGTTTTACAAGATCATCTATGTTAAATTGGAAAGTCATAAACAATTTTTAAACTCTATTATTCTATCTCATTTGATCAGACAATGGTTAGCGTTTTTTTAGCGAGTTAGTTTTCTACGACAAGGGGGGGTCGCTAATCCCATACTTAACCCTCCTCCTTTATCCAGGTTTGGAACCGGTAGGAGCCCCTGGAGGGATTCCAGGCGGAGTTTGATCAGACAATGGTTGTAAAAATATTTTTTTAGAAAAGTCTTGATTTCTCTTCTTACATTTACTTTTGCTATCTATTTAGGTTTTTCTTTTCACTAGTTCACTTCAAAGATTAAATGAAAGATCTTCAATGGATCTAGAAGATTTATTAACACAAACGAGATTAGTCTGATCAAGAGTAGATATCAATTGAAGGTAGGTAATAACTAATTTAAGTTTAAGTCTTTCAATCGACTATCTCAATCATCCAATAAAAGGTTTTCCATAGAGCTCAGTTATTTACTTTCATCATTTGAATAAGCATATACAATGGCTATCTGAATAGTTAAGTCTCTTTTGATTCCATAATACCCTATTCGTTATTCGATCAAATTGATTTCTAATAATAAATTAATAGTAAACATCAAATTTCAACTTAGTGACTGGATTGTGTTAAGCTTACAACTAGACCTGTGGACCTTCAATTCAATCCCTGGTATGGTGGATGTACATTATTGATAAGTCCAGTATGTTATGGTTTCCAATGATTCTCTAACTAATATCAGTTTTGTGACTTATTCATTCACAGTGAGTGTTTCGTTAACCCTGATGGTTAAATGATTTATGGAATCCATGGGTGGATTAGGAAAACTTGTTTCGCTTGTATTAATGTGAGACATTCATGGTGTGGGTTAGACTTCTATCTATTGACCAAGGGACGAGTATACTACATGGAATTTCACTGTTTTATCTTATAACTGTGAAAAATGGACTATGAATGTAAAGGGCACTTATAAATTACTGGTGTTCAATAAGTGTCCCTCGAAATATTGTTTGCGTATATCTAAACAACTAATTAAACAATACTGATTTTAGACATAAAGTACTAAGCAGGGTTGGGTAATCGATTGTTGAAGTCGTCAGCATTCATCGTTTGAGCTCGCTGAGACATATGTTAAGTATATCAAACCACCACCTACATCGGAGAGTGTTGTTGAGTGGTGTAGAACTAGGTTAAATATAGTCATAATCCGTCAAACGAAAAGATAAGATTGGTCTACGAAGTCACTGACTGTCGATCTGACATATGTTAATAGGTGCAAATTTATCATTAGAGGTTGTGAATAAAGTGATATGGTTTAAGATTAATGAAATGTTTACATACATATTTACTGTTTATTTAGCTCTTGATCCTAAACTTCAAAGTTACATTAGATCCTTTATTCCTCTAACTGTTTCTTTCTTCTTGAATCATATTTTCGATACCTCATCATTCCTATAGCACAAATACTAACACTGATACTTCCACTACTTCTAGTTCACTACTATTTATCCCAATAGTTTCATCTCATTGAGATTATCCTGTATGGTAACTTAGTTTATTGTATTCCGTGATTATCATAGCCTTCATTAAAGAGTTATGATGATATGAACTGAACTATAAAATTACTAACAGTTCTTGATGGGGTTTTGTTCTATAAGCTGAATGGTTTGGTCATGGAGCTTTCATCGTTCTTCTGAACGACATTATCAGCACAAACTTTAGGTAGAAGTTCTTCTAACAGTTCTATTCAGATACTTTGTTACTGTTTTTTTCATCCATCTCCTTCTACACCGTTTAAAATAAAAAATAAAAACAATACGGTCGATAAATCCTTCATATCAGCTGAAATAAGTTTTTGCCTTCATTCTTACAATGGTAATATACAGAGCTTTCTACAGTGTAAGTTTATTGGCAAAATGTCTAGGGAACTATGAGGAATATCAGGATACAATCAATCTACGAAGTTAAGATATAACTTAGGCGAATATATATGAATGAAAAAGGACTGTACGTGTGTAAGTCTACGCAAAATACTTCGGATCCGTTGACCGGACACTATTAGCAACAACCAACTGTGGGAGAGAACAAACTAGATTCCAGCGGAGGAAGAAATCAGGAAGAAGCACTGAAAGTGGATAGGACACAAATTGAGGAAAGCATCCAACTGAGTCACAAGACAAGCCCTCACATGGAATCCCCGATGCCAAAGGAAAAGAGGAAGACCAAAGAACACATTACGCCGAGAAATGGAGACAGACATGAGAAGAATGAACAACAATTGGATAGAACTAGAAAGGAAGGCCCAAGACAGAGTGGGTTGGAGAATGCTGGTCGGCGGCCTATGCTCCATTAGGAGTAACAGGCGTGAGTAAGTAAGCAAGTAAAGTGTGTAAGTCAGTTGATAATCAAAAAATAAATAGAAACTATGGTATATAATCAGTGACTATTGAAAGAAGTATTATTAATAGTGAATAGATTTGTGCGTAACCAAAACAACAAAAAAACGGAACTTAAAATGTAAACATGAATGGTAGTAACACTTTGTCGTTGATTGTGATCATGAACCGATTGATGTGAGACCACCACTGAAAACCTGAAAGGTATGGAAGGCCGTTCCGTCCTATTGTGGGACTCCTCAGTAGTGTACGTCCACAATCCTGCTCGCGCGATTCGAACCCAGGGCCTTCGGTCTCACACGCGAACGCTTAACTTCTAGATTACCGAGCCGACATCAAACACTGTCAATGTTTTACCTCAACCAATCCACAAAATTGAACAACCATCCTCCATTTTACTGAGGTAGATACCTGTATCTACTCGACACGAAACGGCTGTTCAGTGTTTCCATATTTTCAATGGTGGTCTCACATCAATCAGTTCATGATCTGAATCAAAAACTTAATAGTCTCCATACTAACACTCTTGATTAGTATTCAGATTACTTAGTTATAACTAGATGAGAACAACTGAAAATGTTCTGTAAATTCAATCGAAATACGTAAATTTTCAGTTACTTTGTATTATTTACTTGAGTCTTCTCACTGATGTTTAGGATTGCAATTGATCTGTCTTATTATTGGCATATGTACACACTGTGTGTATTGCATCGATATTGCCTTAATTCATAGGCCTTATATGAAAAGATGGATAGTGGCTAACAGTGGAATCCCCTTTGACGAGCATTGTTTCACACTATATCTTACCTCACTGTTCACTTTGAATACACATCAATGGTTGTAAGAAGTTGATGATGAGAAACCATGAAAATATAATGTATTCATATTATTCTACATTCATGTTTGTTCTGGCTTTTTTTTGATGGAGTTTTCTTCTTTGAGCTAGATGGTTTGATCATGGAGCTTTCATCGTTCATCTGAACAACATCATCAACACAAACGTCAATAGATGAAAGCTTCATGACCGAACCATCCAGCTCAAAGAACAAAACTCTATCAAAATCATCCCACCTAAACTACAAATCTTCTTCCATATCTCAAAATCATTGTTCCGGCTTTATTGAAAATTCATCAAAAAGGAACTAATTCCATGAAAAAAAAACATAAATGATAATTCCAGTAGTTGAGATCATGAGTCAATTGAAGCTAGACCACCATTAGAAACCTAGAACCACTAGACGGTCGTTTCGTCCTATTGTGGGACTCCTCAGCAGTGTGCATCCACGATTCCGCCCTGTGGGACTCGAACCCAGGATCTATCAGTTTCACACCAGGAGGTTAACCAACTAGACCACTGGGCTGGCATCCAACGGTGATCTCAACTGTTGAAATTACTACAATTTCCATAAAACCCCTTCTGATACTAATAAATGAGAATGTTTTCTTGGTCAACTGTTTATTATATAAAGTAAATCGCCAGAAAGATCAATAAAAGAGAGAAGAAAAACAAAGAAAAAATAAGAGAGAAAAAAAAATCAATTTTATACATAAATATCTGAAATGATATCACACAAGTATAATCATAATCTATTCAATAAATAGCATCTTATGGTTGTTTGTCTTAGTTGTTTATTGTTTTTCAATATGGATTCATTTCAACGAATGAATAATGAATTTGATTCATTTATAGAATTTGATACATTGGAATAATCTTCAAGACTATGTTCTTCAACTTGATGATGTAGTACTGTCATTTCATCAGTAAATTCCTATAAAGTAAATAAGATGAATCATTTAAGAAAGATAATATACATAATAATTATGTCATGTAGAGAGATGTGAAATTGTAGATAGGTAGATGGTATTCTCTCTATGGGTAGATGTCAGTTGAAGTATTATTTCTAGCTAAAAAGGAATATCAGAAGTTTTCACAGATTGAAATCATGAGTCAGTTGAAGCTAGACCACCATTGAAAACCTGGAAGCACTGGACGGCCGTTTCGTCCTAGTATGGGACTCCTCAGCAGTGCGCATCCACGATCCCGCACCACGCGGGGCTCGAATCCAGGACCTACTGGCTTCGCGCGCGAGCACTTAACCATTAGACCACTGAGCCGGCATCCAACGGTGTTAATGTCTAACCCGCGTGGTGCGGGATCGTGGATGCGCACTGCTGAGGAGTCCCATACTAGGACGAAACGGCCGTCCAGTGCTTCCAGGTTTTCAATGGTGGTCTAGCTTCAACTGACTCATGATTTCAATCTGTGAAAATTTCTAAAAAATCTCCACAAACCCCTTCTGATATCAGAAGGTTTGTTTTTGTGGATATTACAGTCATTTTAACAGTTGAGATCATGAGTCATTTGAATTAGATCACTATGGAAAATTTGGAAGCATTGAACGATCGTTTCGTCGTATCATGGGACTCTTCAGCATTGCGCAGCCACCATCGCACCCGCTGCATTCAAACCTCAAACCTGTCAGTCTCATTGTTGGATGCCAGTTCAGTGGTCTAGTGGTTAATTGTTCGCTTGGAAAGTTGGCAGATCCTGGGTTCGAATCTCACGAATGGGATCGTGGATGCACACTGTTGAGAAATCCTATACTGTGACGAAACAGTTGTATAGTTATTCCATGTTTTCAATAGTGGTCTAACATCAATCAGTTTATGATATCCATCCAAAACGCAATATGATTCATTCTTTTCCCAACAAACCAGTGAATAAAAAGGATCCATGAACTTAAAACTTAATGAAGATACTGTAAACAAAACTTTTAATAACATTGTAATAGTTTTAGTGAGGAAATAAATATCTTCCTGTTTTATTGAAAGTGTTCTATACTAATTATTTGCTTAGACACTATTTCAGTTAATAGATCGTCATTTTCATTTAGTTTTGTGTGTATAGGAAAACTCCTGTAGTAAAAACATAAATATAAACTATCGATAAGAAGGAATCTTTCTATCTCTTGTGATCATTTTATTTTTATTTTGGCACATAGATATTAGTACAAGGAGGCACCAAATACACATGCGCCACACAAATCTCATTTCATATGTGTGAGGACTGTGATAATGCCCGGGTGCCCAAACCGAAGCCGGTGGTTTTCTTAGGGGGTCACACCCAGAGCCTTCGACCTGAACGTCTGATTCACAAGGCGAAGTGAAGCAACATCAGGAAATGCAGTCCTACGGTAGCCGGTGACCAATAATTGGTTCATACCCCATCTGTTCATTCAGGTTACTAAAGCCCATGTGCACCACTGATTCCGAATCAGAGTTATCTAAAATCCCCTGGGTGGATCCACTGTATCCACCAACCCGGTTAGAGCGCCGAACATTTGCTTTTTGTCCTCTCAACTTCGTAAACAACACTTTCGCCACGAGAAGGCAATGAATAGAACTTCCCTGACAGAAGCTATATACGCGTGGTCATGTGAGAGCATTTGGAGAGGGAGAGTGGACTCTCCTCACTCTCGGCCGTACCAGGGCATCCTTGTAACTAACTTCTATTGTAATTTAGATTAAAAGAGGATATAACAGTTTCAACGTGTCACTTGATGGGAATACAATGATATAGTTATAAAATTTATTCTGTTGACATCATTGGGATATTATAGGATTATTTTACGTATAATCGTTATACTTTACTAGTGAAGGTTATTCATATATATATATATATATATATATATATATATATATATACAAGTTTTTCTTCGGAATGGAACAACCAGATTTCTTGAAATGACCAATTGACCAACTTCTATAGCTGGATTCCTTTAAATAGAAGAAGAAATCTCATTCATTCTTTATGTTATCAATTACATCGGATATACAATACGGAATGTATTAATGAAGAACTCACATTCTTCAAGAAAACTTTAACGAAACAATGGCTATTCAGACCATTTCATAAAGAAGAATATGAAAAGAATTAGTTATGACAAGAAATCTAGTTGTTTCATTCCAATGAAAAAACCTTCTATTAAAAAGTGATTGAACCTTTGACATGTTTAACCATAACCATTCAAAGAACATTCAATAAAGTAAAACTATGAATTCATTACTATTTATTTTTTTTTTATCTCAGATGAGTTATGTCAATAGTATAGAGTAATTTCAATGATTAAAATCATGAATCATTTGAAGTGATGTCGTGGATGTGCATTGTCATTGAGGAATTCCACAATAAGGATGAAATGACTATTCAGTGTTTCTAAGCTTTTCATAATCTTAATCATTTGAAATGTATTTAGTGAATTTATTTCACTTTAAAAAATTACTTACTTTTAAACAAAGATGACATATTTTTGATGCTTTATAACTATCCATTTTTGATGCAATTTCATAAGGTAATAATCCAAGTACAGGATGTGAATGTGTTAATAATACTATACAATTTGAAGTTGATTGAAATGTTGTACATGGATCATTTAATGAATTTGGGTCTTTTGACATGATTGGTTTATTGATTTTGTTATTTTTCATTTCATCTAATATGACCGTATCGATTAATGTTTTAGGGGTTAATCCATGTATTTCACAATTTTCTTGAAACTGTAATGATAATAATAAGAATAATATTGATTAAGATAGATTTATATTATGAACTCATGTGAACTGATAAAATAGGTTAGATATGAACACCGTTGAATACCGGTTCAATGGTCTAGAGAGTGAGTATTCACGTAAGATATCGAAGGTCTTGGATTCAAATCCTGCGAGACAAGATCGTGGATGTGCACTGCTAAAGAGTCCTACAAAAAGGATGAAACGGCCGTACAGGTTTTCAATGATGACATAAGATCAATCGATTCATGATTTCAATCGAAAACTTATTAATAACTTCTATAACCCTTAAACTGATAATTATCCGATTAGTTTGCTTTGTGTTTAAAATTTTGCTGAATGTTCATGCACAAAATTTGATTCGCTGGTTAACCGATTTCATTCATACTGGTGGTTGCTTTTCAGTATTCTCTAGGGTCATTGTAATTGGGACATTGTAAGGCATGTCGCGATTGCTAACATTAATGAGTTTGACTGTCGTGTAAGCGGAATAGGTCAACTTTGACCTGTTCGTACTGTGCATAACCGATTCACGCGATCATTGATCGGAATAACTATACATGTGACGTGAATGTGTATATGAATGGTGCAAATGGTCCACCAGGGTGCTCGGTGCCTGTATGATTGCGCCATAGGATTGAGCTGTACTATTCAGATTGTAGCGTTAAAGCCGATATAGTATCTAGTTCTTCTGTGAACTGGGATTGAACTTTACTGGTTGGGTTATAAAATCTAAGCCTGGATAGTGTCTGGTTCTCCTGGAAACGGGATTGAGCCATACTACTTAGGCTCCAAATTTTAAGCCTGGGTGGTGTCTGTGTTATAACTGTGAAAAATGCTGCTGATTAGAGGGGTAGCGAGTTGTTTATCGGACCAAAGACGCGCAAATACGTAGAACGACCTAGGGTTCTGATTGGTCCCGCTTCCCTGTCTAGCCCAGCCACTTAAGTCCAGAACGCAAGTCAAAGCCTCTGAGTTATGAATCCTTATATTTCAACATACTTTGTTTATATACCAGTCAAGCAGATCACAACGTACCATAAAATAGAAAATAACATTGTACAATATTGGCCAACAGGAAAATAACACGTTAAATAAATATTGACCAATAAGATGATACCATTTCATGTCCAAGGATAGCATTAGGCTTAACAGGATGATTTTTGGGATATTTTCCTGAATATCCCAACGGTCTGGCTCTCCTGTTAAACAGGATTGAGCTATACTGTTTGGGTTGTCACGTGAAAGTCTGGATAGTGTCTGGTTCTCCTAAAAACCAATGTAAAATTACTTTGGCCCACAAGAGTATATATTATATAACTATATAGATTTATATTGTGAACTAATGTGAACTGATAAAACTGTTTATGCTCAAGTTAGATATTAACACCGTTGGATAACAGCTCAATGGTCTAAAGGTTAAGCGTTCGCGTGCGAGACCGTTGGGTCCTAGGTTCGAGTCCCGCGAGACAAAATCATGGATGCGTGCTACTGAGGAGTCCCACAATAGGATGAAACGGCCGTCCGGGTTTACAATCAATCTGTTCATGATGTCAATCAAAAACTTAATCATAACTTCCATAACCCCTAAACTGATAATTATCCAATTAGTTTGCTTAATGCATAAAGTTATTATGATCTAAAAACATTGACTTACATGTAATGATGACAAAGAGGGAATGGATAATGATGACGATGATGATGATGATGATGCTGATGATAATGTGGAAGATGAAGTAAATGGTCTTGTATACTCATCCATGTTTGATATCACATTCATATGATCTTGATTTAAATCATTATTCAAATGTTTCTTTAATATACCATCTATATCAGATTGTATCCAATTAATAGACCATAAATTAGGCCAACATAACATTGTAAGAAAATGAATGAATGATTGTATATGATAAGGATAATTTATATCCAATGTATTTATACTACTTTCATTGATTATCGGATGATTATTATTAGTAGTAGTAGTTGAATCTAGTTTAACATTTTCTTGTCTATTTGATAATGAATGATTATTGGTGTATATGTGATCAGAATTTGCACTTATATTATGTAATTTCATATCATTGTCATGAGTACTATTTAAGTATTGATATTTACATGTGGCATTTTCATTGAATGAAATGGATTTCTTTGTGTTATGATCATGATTAGTAATAGTATTACTATGACTACCACTGTTACTACGACTACTACTACTACTACTACTACTACTAGTGTTTAGGCTAATAGTAGTATCATCATGATCATCATTATCATCCTGGATGGTTGATTTTGTTGTTGTAATATGATGATATAGAATATGTATAAGACATTGAATTTGATCCGTAAATGTTTCTTCGCATCCATTACAACGATAATCAGTTATCATATGTTTATTTTGTAAATGAATCTGAAATTTTAAACAAAATAAGATCAAGTTATCAAGTATTTATGGCGAGACTTTAATTTATGGACGAGTCAATCGGAAGCGTTTGAAGGATTTCATAGTTATGGAGCCAAGTTCAACACCTGATGCTCACATACGATCGATTTACAGCGGATTTTAGAGAAGAGGTGACTATTAAGAAGTTCCTGTACCTGTAACTGCGGTTATCAAATGACTGCAGTAAAATGTGCAGACTATCGTGATGAGATTGTATTTCTTTGTTCTTTATGTTGGAGAAAAATGTCTGTTCGAACGAGGACTTTCTTCGCTCGATCGCGACTGATACTGAAGCAAATCATGATAGTAGTTTCAAATTGGATTATAAAGACACCAGTAACACTGGCTGCGGCGTTTGCAGATGTTACTGAAACTTCAGCCGTCCAATGATATGAGAATTGTCGTGATATATGTGTACTTAAAATGACACGTCTACACCAATCATTCGGAGGAGTCGGAAGTATTGTGGAAATAGATTAAACGGTAGTGCGAAAGCGAAAATACAACAGGGGACGTAGTATCAAGGAAGATTGGGTAAGTAGCACTTCCGTAAATGTACCTGACAGGTACTTGGAAGTTATGATCGCTCAACGCAAAAGGGGCATTTTCAGAGGGTCAGAAACCGGCGAGCAGGCACAATATTACCAATTATACAGGAATACATGCAGCCGGGCACTACGGTATATACAGATGATTGGAGAGCGTATAGATGCTTTCATAGACTTGGGTATGCCCATCAACGTCATTTTGTCGACCCTACTACTGGCGTTCATACTAACAACATTGAAGCCATGTGGTCGAGATTGAACGAATTTTTAAGACCGTACCATGGCTCCAGAGGACGACTATTATGGAGCCATATGGATGAGTTTCTATATCGTATGTATGATGATTTCAGAACATCTGAAACTTTATCAAACCTTAACAAGTTTTTAAATCATGTAAAAGAAGAATATCCACTGTAATTCATTAGTTTCTTATATTTTTACTTTATACTAACTGTCTTCTGATTGGCTGATAATTGTCAAGGTCATTCAAGATTCGTTCAAGGTTCGTCCCTAAATTAGAGTCTCGCCGTGGCGGCTTGTTTGAACATCTGAGCTACCTGTTCCTACCATTGATCTAGATATTTCAACATGTTATCTAATTTTGTTTGTTTGTTTTACTACATTGTTGGGCTTGAGACCTGACTCTAATTAGATTGTAATAAATGTTTGTTATCGTCTATCCTAGTTTATAATCATCGACTTAAATCGCATTAGTCAATAACGGATTTAGATAAGTCAAATAACGAGAATGGACTTTTGAATACATATAGTTTATATATGAAGTGAACGGAATAGGACGAAGCAAACGGCGCGTAGTGGAGATGGCGAGTAAGCGAACTCCCATTTAACCAAACGTTAATCAACATTTATAGTTACACAAAAGTGTATTACAGACATGTGATGAGTAATGGGATAAGAAATGTACACACACCTACGCGCTCATATGAAAACCGTCAAGATTGATAAGCGAATAAATAAGAAGGTCAGAATATGACTCAAGTAGAATGAATAGAATGGGCTGTCCGAATGCTAGAATAAAGTATATGGGTTTAACATAATAACCGACACTACAACATCATTATTGGCTATTCATCACATAACCTATTCAGATGTGTTTCTGATACCTGTACAACCATTCGTTGCACAAGTTACAAAAGGACCTAATCAGAGATATAGTGGTTACTGGTAATATGCAGTAAAATGAATGTACATTGTTTAGATGTCGATTGATTGGACTGCTAACTTCTAACTGGTGACCACTCAATATGTTATCGTCAGAATCGATCAAGAAATAAGAAATGAGAAACTTGTTGAAATACTTTGCGCAGAGAATTTTATATTGTACCAAACAAAAAATTGGCATTTTCCTGGTTAGCGTTTTTATTAGCTAGGGTCACTAACCCTATGTCAAACCGTCCTCCATTACCCGGGTTCGAGACCGGCAGTAATACTAGAAGTGTTACATCGGGAAATAAAAGTAGATATGGAAAGAATAAATAACAAGTGGAAAAAGCTGGAAAGTATTGCCAAGGACAAGGTTGTATGGAGAGTTCTGGTGGGTAGCCTATGCTCCTCCGCGAGGGATAACAAGCGTAAGTAAGTAACTAAAAAAATTTAATATTAAATAAAGCTAATAATAATAGTAGTACGCAATCTTCAGAAAGTCCTGAAGCTAAATTTTGTTCACAATGACTAAGTGAAATCATAGAACTACATTGATTATCGTTAACTTGACATATTTTGCTTGGATTCGAAATTAACTAGACTGGTACTGATATGATGAATGTGTTTGGATCAATCCAACCTACCTACTAAGTTTGTTAGTCGTTTGAAAATTAAGTGAACTGGTATCAAATCGGCAATTAGGTGATGAAGAAGTCAGAGAAATGGCATTTTCAATTACAAATCCATATATCACCTTCGAAATCGGGGAAGAAGTTGGATGCAAGATGTTAACTTCTCTGGTCATTCTTACATTTTTATACAAAAGAATTAATTCAATATAATATTTTATGGATAATGAATAAACATAAATAATGTGCAATTGATTGATCGCTGAGACGTTACCACTGAGCTATTCGGGCCGCGATCGACCTCATGTATTTACCATTGACTGATTGTGAAGCTGAATGATGCGAGATTGAATCCGTCATGAAGCACTAGTTCCCTCAACATTACAGGTACACCTTGCTGACGAGTGCCAAGTGGCACGAAACCCGGGTCCAGGGTTTCCTGTCGACTACCACCAACCACCATATAATAAAACACCCTTTCAGGATTCTACTACTAACTATTGTGTAAGGTGCAATCAACATGTAAACGTAAATCAGAATATATAGTATATATTCTAGGAGTTTGTATGTCAGTATGAACTAACTAAATGTAACTCCAAATGTTAAAAAAAAGTTGGGAAAAAAACAGCCCATATAAGCAAGACAAATGATTACAAACGTTATAACTTGATGGCTATAGTAGACTAATGGCTAATTTAATAAAATACTCTCATTTTAAGTGATGAGTACACAGTTTAAACCTCAATATGAGTATCCATACCAATATAATGTAAAGTTTGATAGATCAGGCTTAATTCAGATGAGCATTTGTTATGCATTCAGTCAGTTAGTTACAATGTAAGACCAGACACATATATGTATCGGTCCAAGTTGCCACACTTCATTAGCACAGCAAGTTAAACACCGAATTCATAGAGGTAGTTCATTCAATCGTGGTAATATATAAAAGAAAGATTACATATAAAGATATAATGCAGGAAGTAAGAATTGGTTCGTAAAAAGAAAGATATGAAGCCATTTTAATCTCATAGTTTAAGGGAAGACAGAGAATGTATACACTGATGGCATTGTGATCGATCGATCCTGAACTATATCACCCACAGACTCCAACCATTGGTTACGATAGTTATGCGGATCCTAACCAAGTAGTCTGCTATGCATTACTTGGTATAATCTAAGAACAATACAATAAATCATTTCAGACTTTATTGTTCCTTTTGTTTCTATCCAAATTATTCTCTATTCTTGTTTTTTTTTCTTTTAGATGTTTTTAACTTTCTACCGTGAAACATTTCACTTTCGATGAATGAGATATACTACTTATATTTATCAATATCAATAGGATATACCATAATATCATCAGTCATAATTCAATACATTAAAAAGATCAGAAGGGGGGGTTTTATGGAGATTGTAATAATTTCAACAGTTGAGATCATGAGTTAATTGATAGGTCTTGTGTTCGAATCCCTCGAGGTGAGGTCACTGGTCAGGAGTCCCACCTTGGAACCAAACAGCCGTCCAGTGCTTCCAGGTTTTCCATGGTGATCTAGCTTCCATTGACTCATGATTTCAACTGTTAAAATTACATTAAAAAAGAAAGAAAAAAACAAAGCAAAGAAAGATCAAGTGAAACATACCATTAAATCAATAAATTGATTAAAATTCAATAAATGATTACATATATTACATAATAATTTATAATTATTAAATTCATTCATTGATTGATTCAAATGATCCCTTTTTTGAAATGGATCTAAATTGGATTGATTAAAATGTATAGACATATGTTGAACAAACATATAAAAATTGATTGTTTCCATTTGACATATTGAACAAATAAATATCTTTGAATTCATAGATGAATATAATAAATGATTCAATTGTTGTTGTTGTTGTTGATGGTGGTGGTGGTGGTCGTCATCGTCATCGTGGTGTTGTTGTTGTTGGTGGTGGTGGTGGTGATGCTGGTTGTCGTTGTTGTGGTGATGATCGTCATCATGGTGTTGTTGTTGCTGGTATTGTTGTTGGTGGAGGTCGCGGTGATGGTGGTGATGGTCGTCGTGGTGATGCTGTTGTTGTTGTTGTTGTTGGTGGTGGTGGTGGTGTTGGTCGTTGTGGTGTTGTTGTTGTTGCTGATGATGATGATTAGATTTTTGTTTATATAAATAGGATTGAGTTTTATGAATTTTTTTAAATTTTCCATATTTTTTTATTTTTATTTTTTTTGTTTTATTTAATTTATTATAAAGACGTAAATCTAATGGTAAATTAGTTTCTGAATGAATAGAAGAAATTTCATTATTCTTATGTAAATCATACATTTTGTTTTTGGTACTTTGAAAAAGAAAAAGAAAGAAAGTAAACAATGAAATATACATTATTTGTATTCATAGATTCATTCACTTAAAAGGATTCAATGATATGTAGTACCGGAAACATGGAGATCTACTACAACAATCACCCTCAAATGCCCTGGTACGACCGAGAATGGGGAGAGTCCGCTCTCCCTCTCGAAATGCTCTCACATGGCCACGCATATATAGCATCAGCCAGAGAAGTCTTACTCATTGCCTCCTCGCGGTATTACTGTTGTTTACAAAATTGAGAAGAAGAAAAGCGAATGTCTGGCACTTTAACCGGGTTGGTGGATATACAGTTTCACCTAGGGGAGTTGGAAAACCCTAATTCCAAACCAATGGTTCACATAGTCTTCAGTATCCTGAAAGAACAAATGGGGTATGAACCAATCGTTGGTCACCGGCTACCATGGGACTGCATCTCCTTACGATGCTTCAGGTCGAAGGCTCTGAGTGTTGCCCTCCAATAAAACTACCTGCTTCGGTTTAGGCACCCGGGCAGTATCGCAGCCCTCACACATATCAAATGCGATTTGTGTGACGCATATCTATTTGGAGCCTCATTGTACTAATACTTATGTGTTAAAACAAAATTTAAAAAAATAAAATACTATGACAATCATCAAGAAGGTGGAAGTATTTATAAATAGTTGTCTACGCTAGATACTCAACATTCTATTGACCGAATACCATCACAGCAACAGCCTTATGTAGGAGAGTCCAAAACAGATTCCAGATGAAGAGGAGAGTAAGGAAAAGACGTTAGAAGTGAATAGAACACATATTGATGTAATCATCAAATTGCATCACGAAGCAATCGGTAACTTGAAATCCTGAAGGGAAATGGAAGAGTAGAAGGTTGAAGAACACATTTTGTCAAGAATTTGAAGCAGACATAAAAAGAATGAATAGCAACTGGAAAAGATTGTTGAGGATAGAGTTGGATGGAGAATGCTGGTGAGCGGCTTATGTTCCTTGACGAGAGGGGTAACAGGCGTAAGTAAATAAGTCTCAGTTACTATGTTAAGCCCATATAACTCGATCTAATTTCCATTCTTCTTAAGTCATATTCTGACCTTCTCAATTACTTGCTCATTAAGCTTGGCTGTTTTTATGTAGTCGTATGCAGTGTATGCATTGCCTATTCTACTCATTACATATTTGTAGCCTATTTTTTGTGTGACCATAAATATAGATTAACGCTTGATTAAATCGAGTTGGTTTACATGCCTTCTCCATTGTGTTTCATTTCGTTTCACTCTCTCTTCTTTGTTTCAATCGTTACATCTTTCTGACCGTCTTTTCCGATCAACGATTATACAAAATATACGTATTGAGAAATCCATCCTCGTAATTGACTTATTTGAATTCCATTATACACTAACGTTCGGTTAAGTCGACAATAGTATACAAGGATTGGTGATACTATTGAGGCCACATTCAGGGTTACAAAAGATATTTCTAAATATGAAATTCAGTGTTATATGAATAATTCACTAGTTGGACAGGTTGAAATTCTTATGAAAACATAGATTCTGTCAAGATGAAAAGTATTATTTGTTAAAATATGAGTGTAATCAAGCTATGTAGTTCCATGGTATTAGTTCCCTCTGGAAATAAGTGTTATTGGACTCAGATTTGTGATTACTATATATACAACAGGAATTGTCGAAAGTTCTGGGTTCCATCCATTGTCAAAGCTTTTAGTGTAGATGCATGTTTGAATGAATTCCATAAACAATTTTAAAATAAACATCTATATTGAGTGATTGAATTCAAATAAATATTCAGTGGAAAGCATAATAGTTTGACTCTTACCCTTATTGTCCCCTCAAATGTTCTGGTACGGCCAAGAGTGGAGAGAGTCCGTTCTCTCTCCCTCTCTTCAAATGCTGTCACATGGCCACGTTTATACAGCCACTGTCAGGGAAGTCCTACTCACTAAATTCTCACGGCATTACTGTTGTTTACGAAATCGAGAAGACGAAAAGTGAATGTTCGGCGCTCTAACCGAGTTAGTGGACACAAAGGAACTACTTGGCGTTGGGTTGGAAAACCCTGATTCCAAACCAATGGTGTACATGGTCTCCAGGATGCTGAAGAAACAAATAACGTATGAACCAATTAACGGTCACCGGCTACTATGGGGATGCATCTCCTGTTGTTGCTTCACTGCCTTTTGGATCAGACCTTTAAGTCAAAGGCTTCGGGTGTGGCCTCTTAAGAAAACCACCTGCTTCAGTTTGGGCACTTGGGCAGTATCTTAGCCCTCACACAATTCGAGTGATTTATGTGGCACATATCTATTTGGTGCCTCTTTCTACCGATGTTTATGCGTCTAAGTAATAATATTTACCGTCGTAAGACAGTGGTAGAAATATACTTCTTTATAGACTATTTGAAACACTCTAAATAATGAATAATCATACATTAATTTCAACAGTTAAGATCATGAATCAATTGAAGCTAGACCACCATGGAAAACTTGGAAGCACTGGACGGCCGTTCCGTCCTATTGTGGGAATCCTCAGCAGTGTGCATCCACGACCTCACCTCGAGGGATTAGAACCAAGGACTCTATTGGAATTTTCACTACATCATAATACACATATTCATCTGTAGTCACCTTCATATTTATTATGCAGCATTAATCTTTGTTCTTCTTCTGTTCAAGAACATTTCAATCAAATATGTGAAATATCGATTTTTCATCATTACTTTTTGCCGAGACTATAATTAATGAACAAACCAATCAGGTATAAAATAATAGATTTCGGATTTTGGCGCAAAATTCATTCATCCATTTGCATCAATAGAGTTTTGGCATTATAGCTGATGCCAATTCGTGATGAAAACCTTTAATCAAATTCCCTATCTTAAACCTCAATTGTAAATCATAATTCTAATTCCTCAAGGTTTCCCAACCCACAAGGCAGTTCCTGTGTGTCTACCATGTCGGTTAGTGCGCCAGACATTCACTTTTCGTCCTGTCAATTTCATAAACAACAGTAATGCCACGAGAAGGCAGTGAGTAGGACTTCCCTGACAGTGATTGTATGCACACATAAGTATTGGTACAGGGAGGCACCAAATACATATAAGCCACACAAATCTCATTTCATATGTGTGAAAGCTGTGATACTGCTCGGGTGCTCAAAACGAAGCAGGTGGTTATCTTAGGGTGCCACTTCCCGAGCCTTTGACATGAAGGTCTGATCCACAAGGCAGTGGAGCATCGTAAGGAGATGCAGTTACATGAAAGCCGGTGACCAACGATTGGTTCATACGCCATTTGTTCCCGAAGGATACTGTAGCCCATATGCACCATTGGTTTGGGATCTGGTTAAAGCACCGGACATTCGCTTTTCGTCCTCTCATCTTCGTAAACAACAGCAATGCCACGAGAAGGCAGTGAGTAGGACTTCCCTGGCAGAGGTTATATACGCATGGCCATGTTAGAGCATTTGGAGAAGGAGAGCGGACTCTGTCCACTCTCGGCCGTACCAGGGCATATCATCCCAGTCGGGATTATTAACAAAAACAATTATCATTTCATTAAGTTGATATTCAATAATAAAATTTCATTAGTAATAGTCATTAGTTCATGTTAATCAGTCAATCAGTTACAACGTAGGATCAAGTCCATTATATACAACGGTCCATGTTGCTATACCTTACTCATTAACACAACCAGATCAATACTAAATTCAATGATGGTGGTAATATATAAAAGAAAGATTGTATCTAAAGGAAAAAGGAATCAGATAAATTATAAAACAAATTAAATCTCATAGTTTAAGAGCTAACAAATAGTGTATACATCTACACTACATGATCGATAGCATTCGATCTGCACTAATAAGGACTTGACACACATGACATTGATCACCACCCAGTGATCAATCAATTGTGATTACATCTCAGTCCTAAAGGAGGTCGGTCGCGTCCTGGATAGCTCAGTGGTAACGTCTCTAACTGTGAAGCTGGGTGACACGCTATTAAATCCACCAGGGAGCACCAGTCCCCTCGAGATTACAGGTACACCTTGCTGACGAGTGCCAAGTAGCACGAAACCCGGATCGAGGGTTTCCTGTCGACTACCTCCAACCACTTTCTAATCTCAATATATAGTGCCTGCAGTGTCGAGTCATCTAGAATGGTGTCCATATTGCAGCATGATCGATAGCATTCGATCTGCACTAAATAAGGACTTGACACATATGACATTGATCACCACCCAGTGATCAAACAATTGTGATTACATCTACACTATATTGTGATTAATTCTGAGCTATATCACTTATAGTGACATAGACCACTAACCAAATTAGTTTGTAACTACAAACATTGATTCAGTTCAAAAGGTAATCATTTCAATGAAAGGTATATCAATCAAATTATTTACCTTTTTTTGATCATGTATATTCAGATCATAGGCATCGGCCTAGTAACTTCCGAAGGAATTCGGCTTTCATCATGATGCGTCATAGTTCTTCTAAATGAAGACCTTCTGACTCCCAGGGCAGAGTTTAAAAGGTTTGAATAATTTTTTCTGGTTAGCGTTTTTTTAGCGAGTTAGTTTTCTACGGGATGGGGACGCTAACCCCATGCCAAACCCTCCTCCTTTATCCGGGCATGGGACCGGGAGTAGCCCCCGGAGGGACTCCAGGCGGGGTTTATTAACAGTTGTCTACGCAAAATACTTCGGATCCGTTGGCCGGACACTATTAGCAACAACGTACTGTGGGAGAGAACAAACCAGATCCCAGCAGAGGAAGAAATCAGGAAGAAG